TGTGTCTGTGTCTGTGTGTCAGAGTCTGCTGGATGTGTGTGTGGACGTGAGTTCTGGTGTCCTGATGTCCGGAAGCAGAGTCGTTCTCTCTGCTGAAGCCGGAAAACCGCAGCAGCTCTGGAACGTCACGAGTGACGGGATCATCCGGAGCCACGCCAGACCAGAGCTCGTGCTGGAGGTCAAAGGTCAGAGAGACACTCAAATACAGCTGAGCTCATGTTTGTTTCCAGAAGCTTTACTTTCACTGTTCCTCAGCGGAGGAATGATCTTCACAAGCCTCCAGAACATCTCACATCTTCTGAGGAGCCTTTATTTCTTCAGCTCTCAATCACTGCATTATATGTTTGGAGCATTTACATCTCATCTTATTATTACTGGAGATATAGAGCCACGACTGATATTTAGATCATTTTATGTCAGTATCTGCTGCACTGTACTGCTATAAAGATCTGTATCAGACTATCTGATGGAGCAAATATGATACAAAACATAAAACACACACTTTTTTTATATTTAGTTCAAACTTCAGAAGATTGTTTGATTACAAAGAAATAGATTAAAAAATAAATAAATAATTCTAAAGGCTCAACAGACAAAGGTTCAATTATACAAAAAAAGTAAAGGTTCAATAAACTCTTGCATTACAAAAAAGATTAAAATAAACAAATATTTCTAAAGGATCAGTAAACTCTTCCATTACACAAAAAAAATTTGCATTACAAAAAAATAAATAAATAAAAATACATAAATAAATAAATAATCCTAAAGGTTAAATATACGCTGTCATTAAAATATATATATATATATACATGGGTCAAAGACGAAAAAGGGTTTAAGCATAAAAACAATAAGTGTAATACTGCTTTAAATTGTTGTTGTTTTTCCCAAAAAAAATTTGTAAAAAGTTTTCTGTTTAATTTAATTAATTTAATAAATATCACACATTTTCCCCTGATTTACAGAAGAGAGCCACTAAAATGTCATTCAGTGTAACAATCTTGTCAGGCATATTTACAACAAAAATCAATTTATGACATATTAAAAGACTAATTACTTTCACCCCAAATACTAATCAGTTGTAATTTTACATTTTTAAAATGTGCCACTATCCTAGCTTTTGCCCATTGGTCAGTAAGAATTTTTTACTCATTTAAAACACAATAAAATGTAATATGCTCCCTTATATATTTTGATATGTATACACGTCAGAATAAGCATGTTGTTTGAATTTTTACATAAACATTGTGTTACACTGAATGACAATGTGACATTATTTCAACCAAATTTTGACAATGTATCCCAAAGTAGACACTTTACTTACATTCAATGTGCTTTCTATGAACATATAATCACTTTTGTACATTTCTTTTGATCTGGACGTCTTAATGACTTTGACCCATATATACATATATATATATATATATAAGGCTTTCAAATGTCTTTCCTCATAGACTTCACTTCATTATAAGAGTTTTAGTGTAAACACGTTTAGGGGGAATGAGGGAATGAGACGTTAATTAATTTTCTGCAGTAATTATGTTTGAGTTGTATTTGAGCCAGAACATTCCTTAAACAGCCTTCTGGAGACATGGCATAACTTATGACATAAACTCATTAAGTGTTTTCTTAAAAACAAAGCCTCCTCATGAATCCGCAGGACTGATGTTAAAGTTGTGTTTGGCAGCATGAGCCTGCAGCGCCACCTGCTGGATGAAAAAGTTTTGCATAAAGAAAGCTAAGCATATTTGATGATCCATTATTATTTTCTTTTGCATTGTGACATTTAAGCACTTTATGCAAAAAAATAAAAAGTGATACAAATCATGACAGTGTTTTCCTTTCTATGATCTCTCTCTGTTTCTCTGCAGGAGGTCAACAGTTCGACAAACACCAGATTATTCTGAACGAATTCCACGCAGACAAACTGAATCAGCGCTGGTCTCTGGAGATCCTCTGAGCTCTGCTGCGGAGCTGCGCCAGGGGGACCGGCGCCCTGTGAGGCAGCTGCACCAGAGGGACCATCAACTGGAAATCTCATTCTCATGAGAGCCAGTGGATTGAATATGACCATAATCCACTGGACATCGTGTTATTATTTTACTTTTTTTTTTTTCAAGAACTCTCAGATTTGAGCGCATACTTGAACAATAATAACTATTTTCCTTTGTGTAAATTGCATGAACGTACCTGTTTGGACATTGATCTCAGCTGTATTAAAACACAAGGCTTGTTTGTAAGTAAATGCTTGTTGTGTTCTAATCACTGAGACGTGTGATCAGCTCTGTGCTGATTGGCTGGCTGCTGATTGACTGTCAGGGGATTGGCTGGCTGCTGATTGGCTGTCAGGGGATTGGCTGGCTGCTGATTGGCTGTCAGGAGATTGGCTGGCTGCTGATTGGCTGTCAGGAGATTGGCTGGCTGCTGATTGGCTGTCAGGGGATTGAGGTGTGTTTTCACGGCACAAATGAGACTGTCTGCGGTTAAATGAGTGTGTGCCGTTGTTATCTGGATTCAGAACAGCCACATCCATGAGTTATGCAGTATTATGTGACACAACCATATAGTAGTCCAGTCAAGTCACAGCTGTAATTGTGACCTTTTATCTCACAATTCTGACTTTTTTCTTGTAATTCTGAGAATTGCTTGATAGTATAAACTCTAAATTTTAAGATATAAACTCGCAATTCTGAGAAAAAAGTCAAAATTGAAAAATAAATAAATTCAGAATTGTGAGATATAAACTCGAAAAAAGTTGCAATTACATTTTTTATTAAAACAAACTGAATTGTGAGATGTAAAGTCAGAATTACTGTTTTTTGTTCGTTTATTCTGTGGCGGAAATAAAAAGTGAGCAAAAATTATTTTAAAATCAATTACTGGGATTTTTTTATTAGGCTACACTGTAAAAAAACATCTACCTAATTTAAAAAACCTAGCAGTATAAGTATTATTAATTATAATGCACTAATATTTCAATGAAGAGCTCTTATTCAGGCTGGTTTTATAGTCATAAACAATGGTTTTCTCCTCTCTTTTGGATGTTGATAAATCTGTTCAGTTTGCTGTTTTTTAGCTCTGTATGATTATGTTCAGGTGCATCTTTTAATTGCGTTGTTTTGTGAGCCATCAGAAAAGCCCAGACTATTTTAAGTCGCCTGTTCAGAACCACGGATGTAAAACAGCAGAAGCCGGCTTCATTTTTGCGTCAGTTTATAATTTTTACAGTTTAAAATACTTTATTTCAAGTGTCAGAGCGGTTCAGGCTCTAATTTCATGAATGAGCGCTCACGCACACACATGGAGTGTTACTAGCTCTTGATGCATAAAGAAGATCTGTAGCAAAGACTAAAGTCTCAAATCCAAAAGAGATATTCTTTATAAAAGTTAAGAGTCAACCACGCCTACCTAA